GAGAGGCCCATGTACTGAAAAAAAAAAAAAAAAAAATACTGACATGAAGGAGACACAGAAATCCACGCGCTCACCACCAAAGTGCTGACCAGCAAGCTTTGGAGAATCTGTAGCAAGCTGGGGGCAGGGGCAGGGGGCCGTAAGTGACTTGATCTCTCCCCAGGTACTGGAAGAAAAGCCATTCCTCTTCGGGGGTGCTCCACTGTGGGGTTTTTTTTTTCAGCTGCGCTGCACAGCATACAGGATCTTAGCTCCCCGACCAGGGATCAAACCCACGCCCCCTGCATTGGAAGCATGGAGTCTTAACCACTGGACCGCCAGGGAAGTCCCCACTGTGATCTTTACACCCAAGACCTATACAGGCCATACAGGTAAACTTTTGACTACAAGAAGGACTCGTTCACCAACTATTTACTTTTACATCTCCCGCCCTAAGTCTCAGTAGCTATGGGACGCCACCAAGCCCTCACCGCTTTCTCCGGCGCTTTGCGGTCTGCTCCTCCGCAGCAATTTTATTCTTTTCCAGTCTTTTCTGAAATTCTGCATCCAATTTTTGCTGCAAAAAACCACATCAGTTAGACAAACTCTGGCCTGCCTGGGTATGAAAACTCTAGAAGTCATACCACTGGGGGTGCTACAGGTGCATCCAGGTCTCCAGGGCCACTTAAAGAAGCTGCCTCACAGGTGAGGCAGGAAATCAATATATGGATCTCTGACGGTGAAATAACTCAGTTCATTAAGATACCGTTCGTGCACAAGTAAATGTAAGAGAGAGAAAGTATGAGAGGGAGCACGCTGAGGATTCCCTGAAGGCAGAGGCAGCACTACTGGCTCTGTTTCGCCAGGGCCTTGGAAAATGTGATACTGTGACTTGTAATATATATACATATTTGGTCTTCATCTACTGTTTTTGGCACATTAAAACTCTTACAAATTTCGTATATGAGAGCCACAGGGGGATCTTTTATTATAATATTTAGTTTTGTTCCCAGTTCCTGAAATAACTCCAGAAATAAAGATGAAATGGGTATCTTTTGTTATTCATAACCAGCCCCTTTCAACCACAGGAGTTTATGAGTGACTTTGGGAAAACACCTAAGGAACGGGGCTGCTTGCCAAGGGAACTTTCTGCTCCACCTCCTTGACCTCCAGGGAGGGGAGAGGGGCTGAGGGTTGAACTAATCACCAACAGTCAGTGATTTAATCATGTCCACATAATGAAGCCTTCAAAAACCCCAAAAGGCTGCGTTTGGATAGCTCCTGGGTTGGTGAACACTGGAGATGCTGGGAGAAGGAATGGAAGCTCTGCATCCCTTCTTCCATGCAGCTGTTCCTGAGTTATATCCTTCTATACTACACCGGAGAACTAGTAAGCTGTTTTCCTGAGTTCTGTGAGCCCCTCTAAGCCAATTACTTGAACCTGAGGAGGGGGTGATGGGAATCCTCTGATTTATAGCCAGTGGGTCAGAAGCACAGGTGACAATGGGGACTTGTGGCTGGCCCCTGAAGTTGAGGGTGGGGCTCAGTCTTGCAGGACTGAGTCTTAACCTTTGAGATATGGCGCTATCTCCACGTAGACAGGGTCACAATTGAGTTGAATTGTAGGATACTCACCTGGTGCCACAGGACTGCTTGGTGTGGGGAAAACCCCCAAACATCCGGTGCCCAGAAGTGTCAGAAATGCAGTAGAGTAGTGACAGTAAGGAGACACACAGGAGTGTTGCTTCTTCAGAGACAGTGATGGGGGCTCACTGGGTGGAGTGGCCAGAGGGCTGCAACCATGGAATTTTCAAGTCCTAACTCGCTACGGTTATCAAATGACCGATTCTAAGGCAGCATAACATGCATTGCCATCACCTGCTACTAAACACACCTACATGTGTACATACGTATATGTGAGTACGTACATCCATACAAATAAATATATATCCATCCCTTGTGTTATTTCTTCCTAGCAGCTCCGTGTTTCTAAGCCTCAGCTTCCTCATCTGTAAAATGGGGGAAACAATAATTTCTCTTTCCC